ACAAATTATGGCTTGTATCTAGAATATACAAAGAACTCTTCCAACTCAAGAATAAAAAGACAACTCAATTTTAAAATGGGTAAAGGATCTGAATAGGCTATTCTCCAAAGATATACAAGTTGCCAATAAACACATGAAAAGATGTTCAATATTATTAGCTATCAGGGAAACGCAAATGAAAACCACAATGAAATACCATTTCACATACGCTAGTAGGGTTATAATCAAGAAGTCAGATAATAACAAATATAAATTGTTAGAGAAGAAGAGAGCTTGGAACATTCGTGTACTGCTTCTAGGGATGTAAGATGCTGCTGCTGCTTTGGGAAACAGTCTGGCAGTTCCTCAAATGTGTAAACGTACGGTTACCGTATGATCCAGCAATTCCACTTAACTACTTAAGAGAAATTAAAACATGTGTCCACACAAAAATGTGTGTCAATGTTTTATAAATGTTCATAGCAGCATTATTCATATTAGCCAAAAAATGGTAACAACTCAAATGTCCATCAACTAATGAATGGATAAACAACTTGTGTTATAGCCATACAGTGGAATATTAATTGGCAATGAAAAGGAATCAAGGACTAGTATGCCACGACATAGATGAACCTTGATGACACTAGGCTAAGTGAAAAAAGCCAGTCACAAAAGGATCGTATTGTATGATTCTATTTTATGAAATGTCCAGAATAGGCAACTCTATAGGCACAGAATGTATATTAATGGTTGCCTGGGGCTGCACAGGGCAGGCTACAGGCATTAGGGGTGATGGCTATGTGGTGCAGAATTCCTTTGTGAGGTAATGCAATGTTCTAAAGTTGATTCTGGTGATGGATGCACAACTCTACAAATATACTAGAGCCTTCAAACTGTACACTTTAAATAGATGTATTATGTGATATGTTAATTATATCTCAATAAAATTTTTTTAAAAAGGCGTTAATTATTAGTATGAGAAAGACTTCTTTCTTAAAAAAGTCAATCTAAGTTTTTTCTACAAAGTTCATTTTTTGTTTAGGCTTGTTACACTTTCATCCTCCTTAATATATTTAAGACACAAGGTGGATTAAAATGGCCTAATATTAACTGGCTCTTCTACGTATATACAAAATAAAATGCTAAAAAATTGGCAATCAGAGCATTTGAGTCAAAGTGCACTTTGGTGAGCAAGGCTGTTTTAACAAGTCACCTGCATTCTCTCATTTTGAAAACAAAGATTTAGCTATGACTATCTTTTTGTTAAGCTTGGTAGTTTTTTTTTCTGCGTAGTTTTATCAACATTTTGCCATGTATGTGTTTAGTGTAATATCAGGTTAAACTGGCATTGTTAAACTGGCTTGCTGGATCCTCTTGCCCTTAAATCTATAAGCCTTATGTCATTAATACAGTAACACTATTGCATCAAACTACTTAGCTAAAATAAGATGCATTGAAATATACACAATTTACCTTACCATTTTCTATTCTAATTTTATATTGAGAATCTTCATAGTAAAAGGAAAGTCTCAGGTGAAGGTAGTCATTTTCATGATTAAGTATGTTTCCCTTAACTCATTCATTTTCATTTCATTCCATAAACATTGACTAATTCTTTCTCCCATTACTCTGCTCTGGGTACTGTTAGGTGGGGGGTGGGGGGGTAACTTGAGAGTCACCTTTTGTTGAACAGAAGCATAACCTTCTATGAGGAGGGAATGAGCATTGATCACTTATTAAGAGAAGACGTCATGCTTGGGGCTTTACATACGGTATGAAGTCCTCGCAACAATGCTCTATTACAGATTTTTATTATTAACATTTGATAGAGGAAAACTCTGAACTTAGGGAAGGAGAACACTTTGCTGAAGTCACAGTTAACTTTATAAATGGGGATCTAAATGTCTGTCTCTCTCTAAAGCTTATTCTCTTTCTCTACTAGAGTGTTTTATGCCCTATGCCTGCTGTGGCAGAACGTGCAGCCTCCCTTCGTAGGCTTTGCTTCAATGTCTTTCTGGGTCAACCAGATTTCAGAAGTGAGAAAACCCTCTAACCTTTACCTACAAACCTTTTCAGAAATGGTGCATTTGACTCACACAGCCCGTGGCCCCCACAGTGACGTTTTGTTGTTATTTTTAAACAATTTTCTTAGAATTACACTCTTTCTTTCCCTGCTGTAAAGCAGTGGCAGTGTTTTCAAAAGCTTTCTAATATTAGCAGCTGCCCTACATCTTTTCAACTCTCGTAACTATTCTGTGAATGTAGGTTATTACCAGTATTACTCCTTTTATGATTTTTGTTCTGTATTTAGCCAGCTGATTATGAAATCTACATATCAATGAACAGTTTCTTTATGTTTTAAATGTTTGAACAAATAGAATGGGGATTTGGCAATGCTCTCAAGCTTCACATAATGCTCAACATTTCTCGTATATTGGGGATTGCCCTCTTGATTGCAGAATTATTATCATGCAGTACATCCCACATTTATTATCAATTCTTCTCTTGCTTAATCCTAACCAAAAAATAGAATAAACAAAGGACACAGCAATCAAATTATCACACACACGAGTAGCAGGAACAGGGTGAAATGGAAAAATTAGGCTTGGACTTTAGAAGACAGATTTCTATGGCTGTATAAACAGCATTACTTTGTAGGAGATACAAGACGAAAACAAGTAGGAGGTTAGAAGGGGGATAATTTTACAGTTTGAAGCCAAATTGTATTTTCATTCAGCCTGTCTCACTGTGTTTTAATGCGCTACCCAAAGGATCAAGACTGTGTATAAATTAAATTCTGTGTAAAGGACAAGATTTTTGTACTGAAGCCTCAACCATGAAGAAATCTGATATTTGCCTATAAGGAAAAGCTAATTCTTTAGGGAAGGATAATTGGACCATTGATATTTTATCTTGCCCTTTTTACTTCAATATATGACAAGATAAAAAGATTTATGTCATCTCACTAGAAAATCAATCATGAATACAGAATCACACTGGGAAATATTTTGTTTTTCAGGTGGTTATCGGTTTTAACACGTCTATCACTGGCTCACATTGTCAAAGGAAAATCATACAGTGTGTGGATTTACAGCTGTAACTTGGAAAAATTATCTACCTACCAAAAGGTAAAGATATAAACATATTTTTTCTTCAGGAATAATCATTAATGCTAGTGTTTGAGCTAAGATATTGGTCAATCAGTTCTTAAAACCGTTAAACGATCTCAAATGTGAGAGAAAAGAATTCACATGGTCTTAATGTGTGGTTTTAGCTGAGAACGATATCCGAAAAGAAATTGTTCAATAGGAGGTTAGTGTCCAGTTCTCCAACAGGGTGTTGAGTTTATTTTGTTTTGTTTTTTTTTTGGTGTATTTTTAACAAGAGGCTATTTGGGTGATCCAGTGGATAGCCAAATCCTTGTGATTTAAGGATTTTCAACCCAGTTAGTTTTTCTGTTCCTATCTTGTTTGTCTGCCCTTTGGCCCTCTTCTTGTTAGCAACAATCTCACTTCCAGAGCATAGGCGCAGAAGGAGAGATGACAGGAAAACATACATCTTCACTAAGCTGAAGAAACACACGTTTAAGAAAGACCTCTGGACTTTATGACAAGCTACTCAGTCTTCCATTATCATAGATAACTGGAAACTGATTATGATTATATGTATTTAATTTTTCTCAAATCTCATCAGTATCATCAGTTTGGTTCCATTTTCCACCAAGATCTCACCAGATAATCTAAAACGTTAGTCCTAGAAGGGGATTTTATTACACTGTCTGTGCCTGCTCACACATGTTTGCCCCAGGTCTACCCTGAAGGTCACCAAAGACAGGTCCAGGTCTTCTTGCATATTCCTCTCTGAGGAAAGTTCCCAGCATCCTCTGCAGCTAGGCCTGCGTGAAGAGCTAGGGAGTTCACCCCTCAGGAACTGTCCACAGCTCCACTTTTCCTCGCCTGGTGGTGGAACAATTGTGAGCTGTCCTACACAGTCTCTCAGTGTCCGCAGCAGGACTGAAGCCCCAGTTGCCCACAGAGTGAATTATCTCATTAACACTCCCTTATTGTTTTGCTTTCTTTTCTTTTCTGTCTTACTTTTCTACTTCTTCGTCTTGCTTCCTAGACAACCTCCCAAATAAACTATTTGCATCTAAATTGTTGTCTCAAAATCCATTTTTTTAATTTAATTAAATGTATTCAAAAATTACCTTCTCTATTTACATGAAACGTCCAGCAAAGGCAAATTTACAGAAACAGAAAGTAGATATGTGGTTGCCTGGGATGCAGGGACGGGGATTGACTGTAAATGGGTATGGGAGATCTTGTTGGGGGAGGGAAAAATATTCTAAAACTGATTGATGGTGATGGTTGAGCTACTCAATAAAGTTACTGAAAATCTTTGAACTGTTTACTTGAAATGGGTGAATTTTATGTTATGTAAAATACACCTCAATAAAGTTGTTTAAAAAATTACCTTATTTTACATGGATAGATAGTAAGACCCAGAGAGGTAAAGTGTTCAACGTTGCACAGCAAGTATGTGTCAGAGAAAGGAGTAGAGTTTCAGGCCATTTGACTCCTCTGATTCATTACTTTTGATTCATCTGTGGACTAATTATCTTGTTTTAACTCATTTAAAAATTAAAGTACATGAAAAAAGTGAAAAAGCACCAATTAAACCAAATATCAATATAATGGCCCTCATTATAATGATTATCATTTATTTAGTGCTTACTTTATGCTAAGTGATTTACCTAGGTTATCTCATTTAATTTCACAACAGGCCATCAAGGAGGCATGATTACTCTCCCCTTCTTACATGTGGAGAGAGAGAGCTTAAGAGAAGGTAAGTGATAATCAACAGTCACATGACTCATATGAGCTTAGTGGGAATTCATCCACGGTGATCTGACATGACAGCACATGCTTGGAATTCCTCTGTTATACTGCTTTTGCTGGTAACTAGGATTTAGACCTCCTCCTACTGCTCCAGCATGACTGAAGAAAGAGAAAGCTCCGTACCTCACTGTTGAGCTTGTTTATCTGCTGCTTGGTCTCCTCTGCTTTGATGAAGAGCACAGCAGCTCCAATCTCTGGGTCTGAAAAGTGACACACACACAGAATAAGACCTTTAAGAACAAAACTTGTACTGAGTATTCGGGCAATTGGAATAAGGAAGGAAGCCCAAGCTACTACCTTTCACCCTTCCTGAGGTCTGTGCTCTATAAGGTCTATCTCCCTGAGATTGGACAAGCTTCTCCTGCTCCTCTGGATGGTGCCTGATATGCTCTTTGGAACCAGGCACACATCATGGTGGTGACCTGACCACACTGATTTGAAGGCAAATCTCCCTTCTCTAAATACAAGCACCATGCTCCAAGATAGTGCGTTTTCTCTTCTTTGAAATTCTTGATATTCTTTAAAAATATATCAGAGCCAGTACCCAAGCCATGGAAAAGGAATGTTCTTTTCCTCCTCTCTTTCTTTTCCGAATATTGATTCCTGTGCCATCAGAGCATTTTCCTCCCACCTCTATTTCAGGTGCTAATCTCCACTGCAGGTTTTCTGTCTCCTTCTGTGTTGCTCTAAAAGGTAATTTCTCCCATTTCCTGGTTCTTTCATCTCCATTTTTTCTCTACCTTACTCTTACAAATACATTTATTTCTGTCAAGGACAAAAGTACAGATGAGTCACTGCTAGCTGGAGTAGACAGGTTTTGCTAGAACTCATTTATATATTCATATATATGTATTATATATATATATATTTCATGATGTGACCATCCTAATATTCTAATTCTGGTAAATTATGGGTAGAAAACTTGTTTGTGGGAGGAAAAAAGTCACTCAAAACAATCCTCAGTAGCAAGGTAGTAAGAGCTCAGTTTGAAGAGAGATTTTGCAAAGTTAATGCATTCATACAACAAATGATTAGAGATCCTATACAATAGGCTAAGCCTCCTTTAGAGGAGACAGTGATGAATAAAGAAAATATGATGGACACTCATAGAGCATAGAGTCTAACAGGGAAAAGAGAAATTTAAAAAGTAATTATGCAATAGGTTTGGATTTCATACCAAGGACAATAGGAAGCCATCAGGGTTTTAAGCATAAGAGTAGAGTAAGAAGAATAAATGCGTATTTTTAACAAAGTTCACTCTGTATGGAGAACAGTGTGAGACCAGAGAAGAGACTTTGGTAGGAATGCAGACAAAAGATGGATGTGGCAAGGAATAGGCTGGTGGTAGTGAGGATAGAAGGTCTTAGACAGAACTGAGATATTTAGGAGGTAGAGTCAAGAGAATTTGTTGCTTGAATGGATGAGTATAGGGATAGATGGTGAGAAAAAGGAGAAGAGGAAGCTAAGAGGATGGTGAGACCAGAAATAGGTAGACGGACATGGTGCGGTTCTGTGGGTCTCCAGGTCCAGGTGAGCCAACAAAGGAAATTTCCAATTGGGACCCATCACCAACTTTCATAGCAAATACTCACACCAGCTTGACTATAACTATGATTTGTGTTCCTTACCCCAAGCAGAGTAATATTAGCACATGTAAGTTAATTGAATGAATAAATTAGGACTGTAGACTACCTGCACTCCTTCTCTTTCTGCCTTCCCTCCCACTGTGTCCCCATCAAGGAGTCTTCCATTTCCCCAGAAGATGACGAGTGCTAGGACGAAAGATGGTTGATTGAGATGGAATACTGGTATTCCAAATGGAGACACACTTCCAGAACTGTACCTTCAAAGACTTTCTTGGGCTTGACTTTGTCTATGAAGAGATTCTGACAAGCGTGTCAGATCTCAGAGCTGGGTGTAAAGAGGAGATAGTTGGCAGGGGATTGCTGGCCTTGCTTCTGGTAGTTTGCTGGTAATTGCTTTGTATTGCCTATGCCTATTTAACACTTGTTCATTATTCTTTCTTTATAAGCTACAGATGTCTCTTCTTTAGAATTTATTTCTGCCCTTCATCATGTTGACAGATTCCTTTTTTTTTTGTTTTAAAGATTTTATTTTTTCCTTTTTCTCCCCAAAGCCCCCAGGTACATAGTTGCACATTCTTCGTTGTGGGTCCTTCTAGTTGTGACATGTGGGACGCTGCCTCAGCGCGGTTTGATGAGCAGTGCCATGTCCGCGCCCAGGATTCGAACCAACGAAACACTGGGCCTACTGCAGCGGAGCGCGCGAACTTAACCACTCGGCCACAGGGCCAGCCCCCAGATTTCTTTTTATGGGCAATGAAATCAAGAATGAAAGGCAGAGAGAGGAGCGTGGGCTGAGTCTGGGGGTGCTTTTACATTAATTCACCAGCTAAAGGGTAGTGCTTCATATAGTTGTCCATCGTGTGCAACATTATTACACTCTTCTGAAGTTGTTTATCCTCTGACAAAATGAACATACATAATCTCTTGCCAAATAAGTTGGTTAAATATAACCGATGTTCCTACAGTGCACAACCGACACAGCATTTCCTCTGAGTAACGTTGGTTTTGTGGACTAGTCTGCACTTACAATAGGAAAACATTATTACTCTCTGATGAGCAGCAGAAGTTTGAGTGTCCTGACATACCGTTTACCTGGGCTGGTAAGTGGCAGGGCATCCAGCCTGGATGGAGGAACAAGTACAAATGAGATCTTAATAGCCTGGACATGGCACTGACTCAAGTCCAATTATTCCATAGTGTTGGTAAAGTTCTATCGCATGGAGAATGTTCCAAGAATGGGAAGGCAAAAAAAGTGCCTATGCCAAACATTACAAGTTTAAAAGAAATCTCGCCTCTTGAGAGAAGACTAAATACAGAGCTTACCTCCGAGAGGAGGAGAAATTCTGGCCTCCGGCCTGATTCGTTCAGAGCCGAAGTCAAAAGTCTGACTTTCTTCACTACTGTTTCCGTCTTCAATTCCGTCAACAATTCTGTTCAAAATAAAGGAAATTGATGACTTGTACATTTATATTTATGAGTTCCAGTATTTCTAAAAGCCTTAAAAAACTGTGTTAAATTTCTGAAATTCTAGACACTCTAGAGCTATGCTATCCAATATGGCAGCCACCAACCTTGTACAGCTATTGAGCACCTGAAATGTGGCTAGTGCAGATTGAGATGTGCTGGAAGTATGAAATGCACACTGGATTTTGAAGCGTTCAGTAAAAAAAAAAAAAGAAATTATTTCACTAGTAATTTTTATATTTACATTTGAAATGATAATATTTGGGGCAAATTGAGTTAAAATATATTATTAAAATTAATTTCACTTTTTTTTTTACTTTTTAAAAATGTGACTACTAGAAAATTTTAAATTACATATGTGGCTCACAATTTTAGCTCACGTTAGATTTCTATTGGACAGGAATGCTATAGAATTTAGAATCATATATTCTCAGACTCAAAACCTTAAGAGACAGAAGTTCTCTTATCTAAATTTGTATTAAATCACTGCTCTACCCAGATTGAAAAGGTTTCACCCTAATGATTACAGCGTCACAGAAAATAACTCTGGTGCCTTTCACTCTGGACTTGGACAAAACTGAAGAGACAGTTGAAGAATCATAGTTAAATTGCTGTTAGGACTTTAGTCTTCTTTCCTCGGTATATAATATGTAACTCACTTATTATTAAAAAAAATACAAGTCTATTGTGGAAAATGTAGACATACACATATCAAAAATCAGAAAATAAAAATCTCCTATAAGCCACCACTACTGTTAACATTTCTCTCTCTCTCTCTTTTTTCTATGTATATAAAAAACTGTGTTCTTTTTATAAGTATAGGATCAATTGTACATAAATCTTTTTTTCCATCTCTGATACATTTTCCCTCTATTTACAATTTATTATTTTTAATTTTATCAAAAATATAGGAAGGAGAAGAGTTAAGCAATGTTTTCAAATTACCACTTCCAACTGAATTCCTAACATTTGAATGTCCACCTACTTTTCACTAAGCCTGTTTTGCTTATTTTTTCTTAATATTCTCTCTGAATGGATAAATTGTGTTCTTCAAATGAATAATCAAATATATTGCATATCAAAAAGATCACTTGCCTTACAAGTAGAAAAACAGAATTTGGATCCAGATTTCAGAAGTTCATCTATGAGATTTTGGACAAAATACTTAACCTTCAAGTTTCACTTCTTAGATCTTTATAGTAAAGATAGTATGAACTACTTTATAGAATTTCTGAGAGGACTAAATGCAATAGTGAATGTAAAATTACCTAACAGAGTACATGGAACATAGGAAACATTCAATATGTTTTTTTCTTGCTTCTATTTATTATTCCTCATCTGTCGGTTGTCCTATTATGGTGGCTGCATGTTGCTGTGATGGTGAAAGCTATGTCACCGGTGTTTCAAATACAGCAGGGTCATCCATGGGGGACAGGTTTCAGTGGAACTTCCAGATTAAGACAGACTAGGAAGAAGGACCTGGTCACCCACTTCTGACAAAACTGGCCATGGAAACCTTACGAACAACAGTGGAGCATTGTCTGATATAGCACCAGAATGTGAGAGGATGGTGCAAAAACACTGGGCAGGGTTCCGCTCTCTCGTACCCAGGGTCGCTAGGAGTCAGAATCGACTGGACAGTACTAATAGCAAAAAGTTATTACACAGCTGCATTGTGATTTTTACAATTGCTTAGTGCACCATCCTGTTCCCTTCATATTTTCTGAGTCAGGATTTTTTACCCTCACTATCACTTTTAGTAGATCCTAAAGTAAATTTTTTTTAGATTAAAAATAGAGCCATGGCATGTTACCTACTGAAGAGGTCAGAACTAAAACTAAGCTTCAGTCATCCACAATAATGAAGCAACTAGCATGAAAAATGAAAATCAACACTTCATTCCCTCCTTAATTTCAGCTCATTCCTTCATAAAACTTTGGGTAAGATGAGATATGAGGGGATAACATCAATGGGCTTTGTTCCATCTCTTTTATTTTCATTATAAATTTATAAATGATAAAATTACAATGTAGAAATATACATTTATAGTATTAAGTAGAGCTAAATGGATGAAGGGAGTAGAAAAGGAATTCTGAATATTTAATGGACTGTTTTGAGAATATGACTAAAACTATTTATTCTCCTGCTACGCACACCTCCACATAGAGGCAGAAATTGCACACAAAATTCAGGAAAGCTGAAGATCCCAGGCTAGGAACCTGTGCAGTCGAAAGGCCCAGAAGGCTGAATAATTTACTAGCCAGATTCTTGTCTGAATAAAAGGCAGCCATTTTCACCTGGGAAAGAATTATATGATGTGCTCTTACCTTGGACTGAGGTCTGGGGGTCCAGCACTATTCAAAGTCGAAAGCTGCAGTTTCAAGTTCTTCTCTTTCCTTTTACCCTGGTTAGGGGGGTCAGTTTCCTGTTTGGTTTTTGGAGAATTTGAACTGGAGACTCTGATAGGTGAGTGAAACGGCACTGTTCCTGAAGCCAGCTGCTTCAGGCTTAAGCCTAGATAGCTTTTATTGCTTCCAACCTTCTTGTTGCGTGAAGAGGAGGATCCCCTGGTGTAGATGGGAGAGAGGGAGGCTGTCTCCTCTTCCTCCCCCTCCTCCTCCTCTTCCTCATCTTCCACAATGGATGGGAGTCTCTTGTTGATGCTGCCATTTCCCTTGGGCTCTGACTAAATCAGTGGATAACATAGATTAGTGCAGATTGCAAAGACTTCTTGAGAGGTATAACACTTACGCTGGAGGTCCCATCTGAACAAAGTAAAAGTCTTAGCGACTTTCTTCTCATTAAAACCAAAGACTTGTGGATTTTGCTATTATTTATTAGGGTTTTAAAAGTCTCCCCATTTCTGATCTTTCCCAGGCTTACCTGCTCTGCTTTCCCGAGGTTATCCCATCAACCTTCTCTTGGCCTTTTAAACTCTGCGTGAAAGGTGCATTTTATAAGGTTTTCTTCTAGATTTTAATCAGCCTGCCACTTGTAATAGTATATGATGGTATACTCTTAGGAATAAAGACATTATCAATTTTACTGGAAGATCTTGGGCCTTGTTATTTTAAAGTTATAGGGTTTTCAGTGGACCTTTATGTGGAGATCAACCAGTAAAATTATATTATCCTTGAGAGTAAAAATCTTTCCTATTTTGGATCACAGAGATGGAAGAAGATCAGAAGTGTCCTCAGTTACTCTGTTTCCTGTTCTCCTTATTCTTGTGAGTTAGTTGGCAGGAAATGGAGCAAACGATTTGATCTGCTCCCCTTGAAGAGCCTTGGGAAAGGAAGGAGAAAGTCTTGCCAAACCCCATCCTTGGACTCTTGGCTGAAGTCATTCAACCTTATAGGCTAAGAAGAAGCAAGCAAGAGAATGGGCAAGGACAACAGAGGTAATGATGGAGAGGTGGGCAGAGAGAACACCAAACAGCTAAGCTAGTTGCCCTCAGCAGAGTCACTATACGAATACGTGTTTTTCGCTCTGCCCCAGGCATGGCTTCCCTGCTCCAAAAGGTCGATTCATTTTTCTGTCCCTCAGTTTCTTTTGAGGATATAATCAATTATACCTGCTCATCATAATTTCTAAGAAAAATAAGACAACAAACTGAAAAGATCTAAGAGTACTATTTAAATCTCATGATCTGTTGTGGTTATTACCTCATCTTAATAAACAGTTGGTTCTTTAGTATATGTGGATTTTACTATAACAGTTACAATGATAGATATAAAAAATGTACTTGAACCTGTGGTGGCTCATTCAGTTTAGTCTATAGCTGCGAAGTGAAATGGTTGGGTTACTCATGAAGTTATTTGTATTTTAATCTTTTTTTTTTTTTTTTTTAAGATTGGCACCTGGGGTAACAACTGTTGTCAATCTTTTTTTTTTTTTTCTGCTTTATCTCCCCAACCCCCCCTGTACACAGCTGTATATCTTAGTTGTATGTCCTTTTAGTTGTAGGATGTGGGCGCCGTCTCAACATGGCCTGACAAGCGGTGCCATGTCTGCGCCCAGGATCCGAACCCTGGGCCGCCGCAGCGGAGCGCGCAAACTTAACCACTCGGCCACGGAGCCGGCCCTGTATTTTAATCTTAATGGCTCAAAATTTCTTGAGGCAATGGCATTATGAGACTTTCCAACTAGATATGATTCTTTTAATTAATGGTGATGCCATTAGTCTTTATTGGGATAGTAATGGTCTTGCTTTTATTTGTTGTTTGTTTTACACAACATTTTACAATGCTATGCTTTTAACAAAAGTTGGACCTACGAGAAATTTCAGGGAAACTTTTGTATACCAGTATCGTAGAATGGAAAAGTTAGCTCACTCAGTAAAGACGCAACAGGGCAAACTTATCAAAGCAATGAAAAACAATGAGTACATTCTCGAATTGGACTTGTGTTTACATTTGCATTGGCAGTTTAATCATTCCTTTGTTTCAAGGAGCTTCCATTGGCCCTGACAGAATCCTCTGACTAATAACCTATGGTGTTTGTATCTCTACGAGTTTGTTTAAATTTTGTATTTCCATTTTGTCATGGAGACTTGGTACCTTAGACAAGTTGCTTAGATACTGACTCTTGTGATCAAGACAGCCAATATTACTTAAGCCAAGAATAAGTTACCCCTCCTACCATCATTACAGACAGGACTCAAATTTATTTCATTATTAAACACCCAGCCCCACATGCAGCTTCTAGGCAGGAGTATCAGTTGCTTTCCTCAGGCCAGCTATACAGAAACACCTACTTCCCTTGTGTAGCTGGATTCACCTGCGTATACACTGCTGTAAAGTTCAACCACACATCTCTTCCTTCTCTTCTATCTGCCCCTTCATCCTCTCTTGACAAATGCTTCCATGAGGGCAATGAGGTTTTTATAATCATAGTGAAAGAAATCTCTAATTTAGCTCAAGACAATTTGCTGGGATAGTCATGTCAAACTCATAAATGCTCAGATTCAATCAAACCCCTCTTGACTAAAGGGGAAGCAGAACAAAATCTAGTAGTTGAATGCATGGATTTTTGGTCACACAGTCCCAGAAGTCCTGTGATTTACTACTTATAGCCTTGGTGAAGTAATACAACTGTTTAAACCTTGGTTTCCTCAGCAGAAAATTCGGAATAGTGTGAGGAAAAAATTAAACATTAGATAATGGAAGTACAGCAGCCAAAAGCACAGAAAATGCTTAATAACTGCTTCCCCTTGTGATGATGATCATGAAGAAAACGGAAACATTTACATGAGGGCAGGTGCTACAGAGAACACTGGTTATGTAGTTTCACATAATCTCCCCTTCTCTCTTAGTTAAGAGAACTCTTAGCAACGACACACCCCGCTCAAAGATCACCTTTTTCAGCTTCTCTTGTTTCTTGGTTTGTCTCATGAGGCTGTTCTGGGATGATGGCATGTAAGTAGACATGTTATAAGGAACTTGTAGGAAGGCTCCTAAAAGAGGGGAGCCTCTATCTCACTCTTTCACATGTCTTTGATTTCTGGTCTGGAATATGGATGAAATGGATGGATCTCCAGCAGTCATCTTAGAGAAGAAGGAGATTTTGAAGAAAGAAGCCATATGTTGAAGATGATGAAGCAGAAAGAAGACAGCTTGGGACCCTATTGACACACTGTTATATTACCCACTTCTGGACTTCTCCATGAGAGAGAAATGAACATCAATTGTCTGAAAACTCCGGTTATTCTGGTAGTTTTAATATTTCAAATGAACCTCAGCCTAAATTACACATAAGATTTTTTTTTTAAGTTAAGGATAGGATATTCTTGGGAGGGATGTTCATTTTCAGCGCACAATAAATTGCTGAGGAATTCAAACTGGAAAATCTGAAAGAAGGCTAAATTTCTCTTCATGGGAAAGAGAACATAGGAAAGGTCTGGGGAAAAGGGGTACAATAGTGAGGGAAGGCTGCCTGTTGAGAAGAGTTGAAACATAATGACCATTTTGCTAGTTCCTGAGGAGGGATTTTGTAGAGATGAGAGAGAGAAGACAACTAGCGTCAGAGAGAAACTTAGTTGAAAGCACTGAAATGTTTTAAGAGCTCTTAAGAAGTTTCTCAATGGTATTAAAAGTAAACCCTGGGGCCGGCCGGTGGCACAGCGGTAAAGTTCACATGTTCCACTTCAGTGGCCCATGGTTCACCAGTTCAGATCCCGGGTGTGGACATGGCACCACTTGGCAAGCCATGCTGTAGTAAGCGTCCCACATATAAAGTAGAGGAAGATGGGCACGGATGTTAGCTCAGGGCCAGTCTTCCTCAACAAAAAGAGGAGGATTGGCAGCACGTGTTAGCTCAGGGCTAATCTTCCTCAAAAAAAAGAAAAAAAAAGGTTTGCTCCGTCCATTACCGTCTTCAGTAAATTATCAATGTCTTCATAATGTCATATGTAACTTGATTTATTTGTGTGCCTCTGTATGCATGTGTGTGTGTGTGTGTGTGTGTGTGTGTATGTGTGTGTGAAAGTTGGGTTCTGCCTCAAGAATAGTACAGAGCAAGAAAAGGAGCTGTTTATAGGATTCCTGTCACAGGATTATTGGTAATAAAAATCTCGATAATAAATAAACAAATCACTGTTTCTTTGGGAAAGTTTTCTGTGAAATTGGAAGCTACTTAAATATTTGGACTGCCTTAAGAGCTCAAGTGAAACTACTTCCAGAATATCTCTAAACCATGTTTTTTACATTAAGGATAATCATGTTGTACCATCCATTGGATATTTACAAGAAAACTATTTGACTGCTGATTTCAAACACAATGAAAGGACTTCTAAAATCAATACCTCAAGACTTTGCTACTTTTGGCAGGTTTTGGTGACAAACTACTTCTCAGCACTAACAATAAAACCTTTAAATAGATATATGAGCTTCAATTCTTCTCTATTGCCAAACTCAAGAAAGTCCGTCACCACATTGCTCGTTGGGAAGTGTATTAGGGAAAGTCAAAAGTAAATACATAAAACTCTCAAGGGAGAGACACATTTAATGGAAGTCCTACAGATTTTAGATAAACATTTCACTCTTTGACAAAAGCCATACCTGTGAGATGGTAGATTTGTTCGACAATCTTGATATCACCTGAAAGAACAAACAAACAAGCGGAAGTTGTAACAATCATTTAAACCTTCCCGGATGGTTTGAGACTGGGTGCAAGGTGGGAGGCAGGGGAAAGAGATGGAAGTTCAGAGGATGGGGGACAACCAATCCACCTGTGTAGACCAGAGAAGAGAACATAGTTCCTGAAAGATGCTGAAAACACCTCCCACACCCCACCCTCCAGGAGCTCTATTGCCCAGTGTGTGTGATAAGAAAAGAGAGCAGCAAACTAAACGTCTAGGACAGGACATCGCATCTAGGAAATAATGATCAAAATAGGGGGCTTATTGGCTATATTTTCCATCTTATTGCTTCAATCACTCTCCTTTTGTTTCTTATTCCCTTACTCTCTAGACTGCCCTTTTGCTAAGTTCTCTCTTCTATGATTTTTTCTCTCTGGCTCTGTGAAAACAGAAACCCATGGAATCTTTTTTCGTTTAATCTCATTTCTTTCTGCTTATCCGCCTCCCCTTCTTACTTGAATATGGGCAGAGATGATGGGTCCTTTTCTGTCCCATTTGTTTTACTCACTACGATGTTCCTTGTGGACTAGGATTAAGTTCATGGGGGATCCTAATCCCCTATTTAATTGAAAGTGAGATCCCATTGATTATAAAGAAGAAAAAAATCCTCCCAATCAAATTGTGACATGCTATCCATTGGGAGACAGATCCTAATTTCAGAGACGCTAAAATGTGAAAAAACAAATGTGTAATGGAGAATCACTTAAACTTGGCTCTCAGGACACATCTTGTGTAAAATCAAACTGCGGTACTGCGGAGAAGTGCATTAAAAAACATGCACCTTCCATGATGTGCAAAGCTCTGGAAATTTTGCCATACCCTGGAAACATGCTTCAGGTCTCATCTGCATTGTTTTTTGCTCAAATACACTTCTTTCATTTTCAAGTGGCAAATAGATACCATAAATTAACATAATTTTATTCACACACAAACACAAACCTTGCACTTGAAAATGATCTGCCTAGCAAGAGAGACATATTTGGTAATTCTGTCACCCTCCCACTGATTTTTTTTTTCCTAGATGGTTAGGGAAATAGATGTTATTATTTATACAAATGCTGGCATCATTATCGCTCTGCAAATATATGTTTCATCAATGTTTAATTTTATCAAAGCAGTCAACCCATTCTGCATCTGCTTAGTTGCCTAAATATGCATTAATCAGAAGCATTGTAGACATAAGTTTTGTAATAATTCCCTAAATGACGACAAATAAAACAGCTGAATAATTAAAAATGTGAAAAATAAAACAAAATTACAGTGTTGTAGCTACTATGGTAGACACAAAAATGTGTTTTACAAACTTTCCGTTGCAGCTTGGATCAAAGAACATCCCAGTGGAATTCAGAAAGCCTGAAGAGCTCCAGGTCAGAGATGGCCTCTGACGGGGGAGGTGGGGTGGGGGAGAAAGGCCCTGGCCTTAGGGTCTTCTGATTTGGGTTTGACTGCCAGCTCCCTAGTTTACTACTAGTATGAGTTCTGTCAAGTTGCTGAATCCCAAGGCTATTTTTCTAAATCAGTGCTTCTCAAACTTATCTGTGTACACAGATCACCTGAGGATCTCACTAAAATGCACATTCTGATTCAGAAAGTCTCGGTAGGGCTTGAGACTCTGCATTTCTAATGAGCTCCCAGATAATACTCATGTTGTCGGCCCACAGGGCATACTTTGAGTAGCAAGATCTCCTAACCAATGTCACTGTTATTATCATCCTACCACTTATCAATCCGTTAAGTATTCACTATGTGATCAGCACCCTGACAAATGCTCCCCAGCCACATCCTTTAATTTTCATAGCAATCCTATGCCATAAGTATACATCATATAGCCAACACTACTGTGATAAGCTCTCTGAATAAAACATTTCATTTACATATAGTATTAATTACATTTATTTAAAAAGAGTGCCAGGACATGTTCATTCTGTTGGCTAACACTTCATGCTGATCTAGATTCTGCCAAGGGCAGAGAATATTAGTTTAAGGGAAACTCAGTCTTTTAAAGCTAGAAGTGACCCTAAAGAGTGTTTGCTACAATGGTTTACATGCCTGGCAAATAACAGAATGCTTTGAAGAGCATTCCTAAAACAAATCAGATTCCAGAGGACCAACCCCAGCCAGTCTCTTTCAGTTGGTGGTGGGTGGGGCCCAGGACTCCAGGTCAGGTTTGAAACCACTGAGTTAGTCCAGCTCTGCAACTAGAAATGTGGAAACTGGCCCAAGAAGATGAGATGACTTGCCCAATTAGTTGCACAACCTCTGCCAGAGGCCCTGCATCCTGACTTTCCATGTACCCTACAGAGAATCATAAATTTTCTCGGGTACCTCCTCCCTGTAACTTGGGCTGTAAGACTAAATGCCTGATATATTGTGGAATTTAATCTGGCACACAGTTTGATGATTGCCATGAAGCAGACCCAAAAATCTCACGATACTAAGTTGCTGTGGGGGCCTGGAATTGGCCACCCCAAAATACGTCTCTTTGGCATGAGGATTATTTTGGGCTGGTTACCTTTAAAAACTGCAGACATGAGAGAAACTCTGAAAAGTAGAATTTACTTACCCTTTGTTAGGAGACATTTACATTTGTAAAGGAAATCTCCATCTGTAAAAGTGTCCCCCTCTCTGTACCAGGAAGAAGGGGAGATGACTTTATCTCTAGAAACTCTTATCGACAGGGAAGGCAAGGACTTAAATCTGCATAATAACCTTACTTTTGTTTATGTGCTCTTCTGATAATCTCCCATAACTGACTGCCCCCATCCCCCAACACCCTCCTTTGTCCTTAGCTGAGGATGGTATTTAAGGTGAGAGCTTTCATTATTTTGGTGAGTTACTGAGTTTTTCTGGGTCTCTCCCATGTATTCATGTTATAAAGCTTTGTTTGGTTTTCTCCTGTTATTCTGTCTCATGTGAATTTAACTCGATCTCTGGCCAGAAGAACCCACAGCAGGTAGAGGAAATGTGTTCCTCCCCTACATTGCCCAAGCCCCTCTTTAACTTCTCCTGAGTCACAAATTTTTCAGGAAATCTGATGAATTCTAGGCATTCTCTCCCCGGGTGGGGGCGGGGGGGAAGCATAGATATACTTTTAGATAGAAAATGTTTATTGATTCCATTTTCTTTTTCTGTCAATTAGAAGAAAACTCAAAGGTTTTGAAAAGTTTTGAGGAAGGCAGTCTTAGACATTTTGAGTCTCTCTCACACAAAACTGTGTAAAGAAGTCCTCACAATTCTACTACTGAGCTTGAATTGCAAATGCAAATCAGACATAATCAAATTATAGTAATTTCAGGTGTGAAAAATACCATTGTATTTTTTAATATTCTCTATTTTACTAAATGAAGACATTTCTATAAGAGCGTTCATAGGTTCATACCTGATCTTGGCCACCCAACTCATTTTTTCAAGTTCTTAAATTCCTTAACAGGAAATTTTTCTTTTTTTTTTTTTTTAAAGATTTTATTTTTGCCTTTTTCTCCCCAAAGCCCCCTGGTACATAGTTGTACATTCTTCATTGTGGGTCCTTCTAGTTGTGGCATATGGGACACTGCCTCAGCATGGTTTGATGAGCAGTGCCATGTCTGCGCCCAGGATTTGAACCAACGAAACACTGGGCCGCCTGCAGTGGAGTGTGCGAACTCAACCACCTGGCCACGGGGCCAGCCCAGGAAATTTTTCTGCTATTAGGACTTTCATGAATTCTTCTACTTGAGAAAGAAGCTCTCGGATTTCTTTCATCTATTTCCTCCATCCATTAAAATGCCTCTGAATTCTCACAGATGGTACTATGACAATAAGCTTTGGGGCCTCCACCTTCCATGCTAATGCCCTACCTTTAGAAGAAACTTGAGTGGTTTTTCAATGGTGGGGAGGCATTACATAAACTCTCCTTACTCTCAAGTAGTTTTCAAAAGGCTGAACCACCAAGAAGTTGACTACTATGAAGCAGGAAGGAAGCAAATGTGAATGGAACCCACATGGATCTAGGAATCCTACACTGTAACCCAAAGGATCAGTGGCCCAAGGAAGGTAGGGAATCTATTTCCGTTGTTTACTTGGTTCACAACTCCTGAGTCCGCAAATGTCCCCTCAGTTATGGAATCTCATAAAACACTAAAGTGCTCTGGTAGGAATGTTATCTACAGCTGATTGCTCAACTGGGAAGTGAGCTGTGAATTACAAGCTCTTCTTTCTGACTGATTCATAATATCCTCTGCTTTGTTTATAATGCCACACTGATTAAGGCACAAAGCAGATTGAAGGAACACATGTCCCCATTCAGAAAAAGGGATTATCACATATTTTATCTTGTTCACTAGACAGCAACATCACCAGTATTGGGCTGTTTGGGATAAACAGAATATGAATGAAGGATACTCATAAATAACCCCATAACTCACATGATTAAAATGTCCACTCTTACAAAACCATAAATAGTTGTCATATAATATAGGCAAGTAGCATATCAATAGGTCTCATTTTCATTTCTAATTTGCTTCCTTCTCATGTAGACTCAAGTGGAGGTGCCAATAATTAGTGAGTGACACCAGTGGCAGGTGGCAGATGGGAGGAGCCATGGCAACCTCTGGAGGAAGGATAGGCTTTGGATAAGGGAGCACTCATTTTCAACTAAACAAGGCTGAGAGTTCACCACCATCTAATCCAAAGGAGAGATTTTTGAGGCTGGTCTGAAACCCTACATGTGTAATACAGTTTCTATTGTTTCTTTTGTTTGTTTTATAACTTAGAAACAGAAATGAGATTTTAGTGAAAAAAGGATGATTCCGACATTTCCCAATTTCACCCTGAGCCTTGAGGTCAAGACAAACTATTAGGGCTTAGAAAAGAATTCTCTTCCCTTAGATAAATACTATTCCTTCTGATGCAGAAAATACAAGTCAAGTAATCGAGTCCTCAATTTAGTGTGTGCTGACTGCTAGAGCTGGAGAATCAGCT